GGATTAAGTTCTCAAGTCAAGACCCCACTGTATTTAAAATATTTGTATACCATCCTTCACCATGGTGGTTCAGTGAGTAAACATTAGAACAGCAAAATATAAAAACACCTGGAGGCTCAACTACAAAGTCCTCCAAGACAACAAACAAGATGAACAACATCATCAATCTGAATACCTCTGATGCTCAGCATCCATAATTTTACAGGCTTCTTTAACATCCCCCATCCAGATGGCTTCTTTTCTGAACTAAAAACCAATATTCTCCCATCTTTCCTTGATTTGGCACAGGTTCATAAACACATTTGGCTTCCCTCAATCTCGTTCCAGTCTCTCCAGTTAAGAATGCTTCAACAATGAGTACCCCCTCCCCCCAAATTGAATGTAGTATCAGAACAACAAGCAAACTTTTGAGTTTTCCAAAATTCATTCAGAGTGGGTGTTAAACCAGATGGGAATTGAGAGAGGGGGAAAGAGTAGCATGACTTTCTAGCCATAAATGCTGCATTTGGATACAGTCCAAGATCGAGGGTAGGGAGATTTATTCATCTATGAATAAATGCAAATAGTATGTACAAAATGTCATGCCACCCTCTTTTGCGCTGCCTGCCCTGGCCTTTGTGCTTAAAATACAACCTGACAAAGAGGTTGTGAAAATTAGAAAACTTACTATTTTGGAATAGTTTGGTGGAGATCCTAATTAAGGTACTGATTAATTTACCTAATTAAGGTAAATTCTGGGATTTTTCTTATAGACTAAAATAAGATTATTTTGCATTGTGTTAAACCCAAAGAGAGAAGCTTCTTAAATTGAAGGTGAAGAAAAACAGGGGCCTTGAGAAGATTACTATATAGGCCTTTGTCTCCAGCAACTCCAATGTAAATAATAATTTAAATAATGATGATTTAAATAATTCAAACATATGCATCGAACTCCAGATCCCTGAAAATTATTGTTCTGCAGAGAAACTAGAGTCTCAGTTAAGAAATAATTTCCATACTCTCACAACACTACCATATTCAGGTTTCTCACAGCAGGTAAATCAGTTGGAAACTCACTGGAAAGAGCATGTGCTTCTAGAAAAGTAAAGGGAGATATATTAGTTTTGTGAACATTTCTACCTTCCAGATCCCTAAACTGGGAAGTCAGAGGGAATCAACAGTACAACGAGAGGGGTGCCAAGATCAGAAGAACACTAGGGCATTTCTCCTTGTCCAGCAGAGGGAGCTGTGGAGCTCTAACTGTATGCCACAACCATGTTTGTGTCATGACTGGCAGTAGCACGTGAGATCAGATTCTACCCACCAGGCAGACAAATCACATTCCCCCCCTCTTTGAGAACATCATGAGCCAAATGCATCTAAAGCTTGGCAGAGAAGTGCAGAACTCTTAGCCAAGACAAGAACATGTGATCCAGCCAGCCAAGTTCATGGAAGTGCCCACCCCCAACTGTATTTATACCTCTCCGGTCAACGGCTGATTTGCCTTGGCAAGATACAAAACAGCCCAAAGAGGAGAAACCCGGCCCAATCATAACTTCTGTCTTCCATCCCTTATACGGTTACGAAGTCTTGCCTTGCTTATACCACTCGCAACATGCAAACAAAGGCATAAGGTTGTTCATCGGCAATTGCTTATGAAAGCTTACGGTGCAATTAATAAACCAGTTGAGTCTCTATCATGCTACAACCGATGTCTCCCTCCTACGACATAGCTCTTGTTCCTGATTCACTTCAGGTTACACAGCAACTACAGAATTCCAGGCTTGCATTTCAAGCAAAAGGTTGCTCCCGGCTCCTGCATTCTTCAGTTCTTGGTGTATCCCATGCTTTTGAAAAAGCAGGTTGCTCTACTTGTGTATCCAGCTATTACTTTAGTATATTTTTCTGCCACTTTTCTGCTAAAAACCAGTGCTCAATGCAGCTAAAAAAGAATTATTAAAACCCAGCTGAACCATGCAACTCGATATCGCCAGAACCAACAAAGAATTGCATGACACCTTAAAGATTAACATACAGTATTTTATTTGTCCTAAAGCTTTTCTGGATGTACTGTTAGTTTGTTGTTTTTGCAGCAACAGACTAACATGGATGCCTTCCCCTTGAAATTAAATCATCAAAGTAATCAGCACAGTAAAAGATATGGGAATATATAGTTTGAAAGACTTGCTTGAATAGATTCTTCTTCATACCCTTCCTTGCAAACAACACCTCCTGTTATGTCACATTCCCCGCCTCATACTTTGACACTGGCTCCTCCCCTCCAAAATGTGCAGGAAGCAAAGAGGAATTAACTGCAAATCCCCAAGAGCAGAAGAAACATACAAAGGCATCTGTTCAGTGCTAGGAGGAAACCATATTAATCCCTGGGGGAACTATCTAGAAATCAGTACCATTACTCCCAAAATTGCCTTCCCTCCTTTCATAAGAGAAGAGCACGAAGCAGCCAAATTGAAAGAGGCCTCTGTCAAGTTACTTCCTGCACATCTTTCAAAGCCCTTATCTTTTCTTGGTTCTTTGTGGGAAAGTCTTCAAGGCTGGAGGCCTTTGCAAAGTCTTGATTTTGATAAGGGGAAGATGGAAGGAGAGCTCACTCACATATCCTGAGACTCCTTTCCAGTGTAAAAACAAATGAACAAACGGAGATATCATCAGTTCAGTGCAAACTCCAGAAATCAGAGAAGATGTGGCAATGTAGCTAATAGACCATGTGCTCAGAATCACTGTGTCCCCACTTTGAATCCTGCCACTGTAAAATTATTTATTAATTACATTTCTATCCCACCTTTCCTCCAGACATGTCAATACCCTCCCTGCTTTATCATGACAACCGCAATCCTGTTTGGGAGGTCAAGGTGAAGTTGTGTGACTGGCCCAAGGTCACCCGGCAAGATTTATCAAAGTTATTAAACAATCCTCTCTTTCTTTCAGGCTAGTTTCCAGGATTGTTGTAAAAACCGTCACAGGAACGATGCACAGGTAAGGGCTGTCATAAGAAAGAGATCCAGAGATAAGCAGCTGCTGGTGGACAGCACTGGACTAAAAAACTGTGCTCAAACCATCCCTAAAAAATACCGTTTGATCTTGGAGCAAACACTCGCTTTTGGAGTAAACTACCTCACAGGGTTGTTGTGCACAGTAAGAAAAAAATATTCTCCATTCCAATCCACGTTAGATTAGGCGCAGAGTTTCCAGAAGAGAAAATGCAGTTTTTTGGTAGTTTTCCGGCCTCCACTTTCACTCTCTCTCGTTTTAAATCAATCACAAGCAACCACCATCCCATTTTAAACTAGCCAATACAAATCTAACTATCCCAGTTATACAAAAAATGAAAAGGGCCGTTGAAGAAAATTAGAAATACTGAGGGTGGTTTAAAAAAACAAAAGAGGAATCGGGAGGGGAAGAGACAAAAACTGAATGACAGCAAAACGGCCAGGTCAAAATGATGTCCCCTGCACATTTCATCCGAGTGTCAATTTGTCCTCGTCCACGCGGTCTGCAAGGCGAAAACTATCGCTCAAGTTATTTTATTTATTTATTTAATTTATACGCCGCCCACTCTACCCAAAGGTCTCTGGGCGGCTTACAACAATTAAAAAGTAAATTAAAATATAATAAAAGATAAAATGATTAAAATGCAATTAAAATTGCCATCAGGACCCACAGTTGATGGTATTTCAATTAAAAGAAGTTCCACCAGACAAATCTCTAGCTCCCTTGGGCTGCGGTCCCGCGTCTATTTCCCGAAGAAAAACGCCGTCTGAAGGGCACTTACACGCGTGCCAACAATATGCATGCCTAAAATGGGCTCCCATTTCGTGTTCCTCGCCTCCTTCCTCTCTTCTACTTAAGAAACTCCCTCCAATCTGCAGCTCTGTTTGCTTTTCGATAATAATAACAAAAGCAGCGTGCACGGGCGAGACCGGCGCCAGAAGAATCGGCGGGGCGGAAACCGTCTCCAAGAGGGTCTCTTTTCAACAACAAAAAATATTATTATTATTATTATTACGATCATGATCATCCAGCAACTTCATGATGGGAAGGCGGTGGGAAGAGAGGGGAAAAAAAGAACAAGCGGCGCTTTGTTCCTGGAAAAGGGAGGGAAAGCCGGGTGGAACTGCCTCCCTCCAAGCGGGTGCCCTCCAACACGTGTCGGACAACTCCCATGATGGTATGGGGACGATGGGGGTTGTAGTCCAAAGCTTTGGGAGGACACCCCGATAGATGGGGTTTTCGAGTGGCTTAAGGGTAGGAGAAGCGATCTTCGGACGGAACAAGGCTGGGGGAAGGATAGGTGAACAATAAAATATAAGCAGACTTTTGGGGGGTGTGAATAGGCAAAGAAATCACCTCTTATTTCGCCCTCATCCGCCTCCTCCTCTTCTCTCTTTTGCTTCTTTCTCTTCGAGCCCCGATTAGCCAAGCGGGCAGAAACTTTTACCTCGCAGGATGCGGCCAAGCTGCTAACAAGGATTAGAAAACAAAACACGAAACCACCTTTTCTCGACCGAAAAAAGAAAGAAAGAAAGAAAAAGACAGCGAGCCTTTTTTCTTCCAACGGGATGACAGATCGCTTGGGCGAACAAAGCTGGCGGTCGTAATTGACTGAATTAATTCCCGAGGAGCCGCCCGCTTTAAGCCCTCCAAAAGCACCACACGGTAACAATATGGCCCTGAGGTGGCGGTGGCGGGGGGGGGGAGAAGAGAGAGAGAGGGAGGCCGTGTGCGTGCGTCTGTCAAATCCCACAAACAGTAGCTTATTGGCAGGACGCGCGCCACACCAGGCCTGTCAATCTGTGGCCCCGGCCTGCGTCTACTGGCTGGTTTGAACAAAAAGCCTACGTCGCCTCCGCCCTCGCCCTCCCTCCCTCCCTCCTTCTCTGGCTTCAGCTGTCCAGTTGCGTAAGAGGATCGGCCCCGGCAGCGGGTTTAAGCTGCGGCAAGGCTTAGCTCCGCCCCTTCCATTGAATGCGATGCCGCCTAGGAAGAAGGCAATAAAGGAAGTGCGCCCCCCCTCGCCGGCCGGGGGAATTGCACGCGCTTCTCTCGCCGGCAATTTTGTTCGAAGAGCGGTGGGTGTGGAACCCAGGCTGACAACAACACAAAAGCTGAAACGGTGCACGTGCTATTGCTTAAAAGGTCACACGGCTCAAGGCGTACAACAGACCTCACGCGGTGGCCCCTTTGGATTTTTTCATCCTCATGGTGGCCCCAGACTTTTTTGCTGTCTGAGGTAGAACGGCAATGATGCTTCGCCCAACTCAAGGCATATAATATGCGAATATTGTAGCTCCTGAGACACAAAATAGTACAAGCGCCTGTTCCCCTTTGCTCCCTGGCAGTGAAAAAATGCAACAGTAATCAACCAGTTGTAGTCCTTCTATTCTCCCGGTTACAGCCCTGTATACTCTGAGTACCTTCTAAATCTTTAAGATTATGCTTCATGCATCTGAAGAAGTGAATTGGAATCCACGAAAATTCATGCTAAAATAAATATGTAAGAGTAGGTGATACCTTTTATTGGATTACTGTACTAAATAATAGAATAGATACGGTAAATAGTTCTTTGTAAAACTGTCACAAAAGCTTAACTTGCCTCTTGATAGTTACTGCTCTTAAAGCTGTAAAATATTGAACAACATACCTATTTTAAATTTCAGTACTATCAATCAATCATCGCAAACATTGCGTCTCTTTCCTTTTACTTCAGTTTAGATGTATATATCCCATTATGAGAACTCAGTAACAGCCAACACAGTACTGTACAAGCATGATTCTATTTGCAGTAATCAAAATGAAACACATTCCCGACAGCATATATCAAGAGCAATGTTTGAATTAGCATTACAGTAGTACCTGAGGTCTTGTGCTTCAGCATCAGGTACTTTATAGATGGTTTGTCTCAAAATAACGTAGGAGTTTTGCTGTTTTGCTTTCAGAGACTCTACCAAAAGAGCTTTCCTCATTCATGCTTTCTGCAGGCATGGTTCAAGTAGCAGAACATACACTTTATATGTAGAAGGTATCAAACTCAGCCAACTTTGTCCTTGCAACAACAACTGTGTGAGATAGGTCATGCCCAAGGTTGCTCGGTGGCAACTAAAAACTAGATCTTCCAAGTCTACCACTTCAACCTTGATAGCATACTGTACTAGCTGATCACTACACCAGCTTTAAACAAGGAAGAGCTGTGGAAACCTGTCACCACCAGCTGTTTTGACTTTCAGCTTTCAGAAGCATGTGACTAAGCAATATTCTAGCCATAGCCCAAAACATTCAGAGTAATGTTCAGGTGCTTTTTGCCACCTAATTTGTTTATTCATTTATTTAAAATATTTTTACCCCACCTCTCTCTTAAGAAAGGATCTAAGGTGGCTTACATAATTTTTTTTTTAAAAAATCAAAAGCTAAAAATAGTAATTTATTCAAGTATTAAAAATAATATATTTTAAATGTTAGGTAAAAGCATTACTAAAATGGATTTAGAAGCAACTAAACACCTTCTTTCTGTTGAGACTTTCTCCCCTCATACAGCACTGCTGGACATCATCCTAACCTCAGCTGTGTTTAGTTGTGCAACCTTCATTCCCTTGTAATATTTGGGGAACTGTGGCTGAAACTTGCCCAGGCTCACTATGAGAGAGCAGTTAAGGTAAAAGGACTCAGACTAAGTACTGGATTATGCTGATGCTCTCATTACAAGCACTCTCTTGAGTCTGTTTTTCATTCCTCCTTGGTTGACCTGAGTCAGACCAGCCTTGGTTCTCTTTTCTCCCATCCTATAATCCCAAATTGCAGTTATCATGTCCCTTGAGCCAGAGATACATATCTACAGTAGTTCTTTTAACCCTACAAGGTATCTGTCACTCCTGGGAAAATGAAAAGAGGGTGTATCCTAAGCACATGCTAGGGAGTTAACACAGTCTAAGAATAACAGCTGCAAAAGTTTTAAACAGCCCTCCCTTCCCAGCTATGCTGTTGATATGAAATGGTGGAGAGAGTACTGTACAGTATATGTACTACTCCCTCTATTTGTTTCAGAAGATCATTTATATACTCAGCCTCCAGATGATAAAATTACTGTGGTTCATAAAAAAGATTTTATTTTTTATTTTATTTTATTGTAGTCAATGTATTATTAAATAGTTTTATGTATTGCCAGAGGGTGTAGAAGTAAAAGATCAAGATAAATTATTCTCACTGTCTGGTGGGTAAAGCTAGATGGTTTATGTGTTTCCCAAAAGAGGAAGTGCATCACCCAAAAAACAAAAGCGGACACTTTTGTTTTTAATTTGCATTAAAATATACATGACTATCTGTATGTATCAATGCAAATTAATAAATAGTTATTGTACATTTAATAAAAATGCAGAACATCACATCATAATGGAAAAGACTGATTGGGTGATGAGCAATTTCAAGGCCCCAGATGCTTTTCCTTTCTTAGTAAGGTTCTTCATCTATAAAACAGACCGAGCACCACTGCAAATACAGGACCGCTTCCTGTAAAATAAGGCACATGGCATGCTAGATGGCTTCTGCTTTCCACAAATGATCTCAAAAAGATTTTTGAAATGCTGATACTTAATTATAAGACGGATGAAAAAGAAATGTGTACTCTCTGCCCTCTTTTAATTCTTTCTACTACCAAAGGCTCAAAGTCCTATAATCCCACACTAATTGAATATAATGAAGTCCTCTGTGGTAAACGTCAGGAGAAACTGTGAAGAATGTCATCCTCATCACCAATTTCTGGTGGTAGGATCAAGTTATAGAGGAGCTACATTGTGGGACTAAAGATAATAGCAACTATGGGTTTTTTTCTATCTGAAAGCCATACACATACGTGGAGACACAAGCAAAATGACCCAGCTTCGTGTGGTTTAGAACACTGGTTCTTAACCTTGGGTTACTCAGGAGTTTTGGACTGCAACTCCCAGAAGCCTTCACCACCAACTGTGCTGGCTGGGGTTTCTGGGAGTTGCAGTTCAAAAACATCCGAGTAACAAAGGTTAAGAACACTGCAAATACAGGACCGCTTCCTGTAAAATAAGGCACATGGCATGCTAGATGGCTTCTGCTTTCCACAAATGATCTCAAAAAGATTTTTGAAATGCTGATACTTAATTATAAGACGGATGAAAAAGAAATGTGTACTCTCTGCCCTCTTTTAATTCTTTCTACTACCAAAGGCTCAAAGTCCTATAATCCCATACTAATTGAATATAATGAAGTCCTCTGTGGTAAACGTCAGGAGAAACTGTGAAGAATGTCATCCTCATCACCAATTTCTGGTGGTAGGATCAAGTTATAGAGGAGCTACATTGTGGGACTAAAGATAATAGCAACTATGGGTTTTTTTCTATCTGAAAGCCATACACATACGTGGAGACACAAGCAAAATGACCCAGTTTCATGTGGTTTAGAAAGCCTGGTTCCCAACGGTAGAGTTTTTCTGTCACACGGTCCTAGGTGCTCGTGTACCTATTGACCCAGTCTTTCTTTTCCCTTGCAAAATCTTTTTTTCTCAGCTCCCAACGGTAGAGTTTTCTATTCCATGGTCCTGGGTGCTCATGTACCTATTGACCCAGTCTTTCTTTTCCCTTGCAAAATCTTTTTTTCTTTCTCCTTACACACTCAAGTGCTCTTTCTTACCTGTAACCCACCTTTCTTTGTCCTTCTGCTTTTTATTTTCTCCTGCACTCCACTCTTTTTTCCCCCTCATTTGTGGTGCTTGTCCACCCTTTTACTCTGCTCCTCCTATCCTCCAACTTACCAGGCATCAGGTCCTTTTCTTAACTCTTCAAAGACCAGGGGTGGGTTGCAGAGGGAAGCAAAATTGTCATTTGTCTCTGGGCCCTGTGGAACTCGAGATAAATTGCAATGACAGAACTGACCCCAGTTTCCTCTTTGTGGACTATGGAATTTAGCCACTTAGTCACAGAAGATGGTACTATAAGCTACAGACAGAGTTTTAATTAACCAAAATTATTTTTTTAAAAAAGAGGCCAGAGTGAGTATCTACAGACCCTCCTTAGAGCCTATGCCAAGTTTCATATTCTTGGTGCTATAGCGAAGATAGACTGACAGACACACAAAATGCATATTCTCTTTTATCATAATAGATTACTCACAAACAGGCCTTGCTCTAAGCTCTTGTGTTATTCATGGTATTCACTTAATGTCCTTTTCAAATTAGGAATGGTTGAGAGTAAATATTCTGTCCATTACTGTACCTTGAACTGACTATTGCCCACTACTCCACATTTACAGGAGTAAGAATGTTTAACCTGTATTAAAATTAGTTTGAAGCAGTATACTAAATTTGTATTTTATAAATCATAGCCAAATACAAGAAGTATTCAGAAGGCCTTGCAAGGTTAGGCTGCAATACAGTATTTAACCTGCCACTCTCAACAAAGCATTGCTCCAGAACGAATCCTATTGTGTAGCTTTGTGCCGTGCAACGCAGATGACATCATCATCTGCCTTCATTTTGAGGGGCTTAAACATTTCCTATTCCTTTCTCCCCTGGATCTGGGGATCTTTAGGGATCTTGGGGAAGACTTTGGGAGCTGTGGAACAGTGGGGAGGGGAGACTCTTTAACATCAGAAAATGGCCATTACCAGTTCCGGTCCTGCAACAGGATTCTGGTCTATGAGAAATAAAAATGGCAATGGCTTCCCCAACTTGGCTCTGCCAATAAGCAAGCCCTCTGCTGGTGAGGGGCCATCAGATCTTAAGCTGGTCTGCGCTGAAGGTTAACCTTGGAGTTTAGTGTAGAGATTCACTGCTGTGACAAATCAAACATATGCCTGCACCTATTTCTGCATATGGTTTACATTTTTATCATGCTGCCCATCTGTTGTGGCCTTCATAAAAACTAACTCCGAAAATTGTTAAAAAGGAAGGGCTGTGTGAACACTGAGGTGCAATGTGCAAGAAATGTACAAGGCAATATTTTTAGAAAACAACAGTGCAGTTTGAATAAGCAATGATAGACTGATTAATTGTTACTCAAATTGTAGCCAAGGTTGCTTTCTCTCATTAGGGAGCTTCAATATTTATTTGGAGAAAATAGTGAAAGAAACAACAGATAAACTGGCAGAGATCAGCACTTGGAAATCATAAAACCAATACTCTGACATATGCAGAAGAAATATGGTATTGGCTACTTCCTCTTCTAGGGACCTCCAAACCTCACTAAAATAATTCATAATTCATCTCTTGCATCTATATTCCATTTTCTTCCCTAGAGGAAAAGTGAGATGCATAACATTTCCAAGTGACCACCCACGCAGACACTGACCAGTCGGAGAAATAAGGTATGCTAATATTTTTCACACCAAGGTCTGTATTAAATACACACTATTGTATTTCCAGTTACTATATATGGCTGCAAAATCTCGACAGTGAAGAAAGCTGGCAGGAAATTTTTTTATTCATTTGAAATATGGGGCTGGAGAAGAGTTTTACAAATATCTTGGACTGCCATAAAGACAAACAAGGAGGTTCTCTATTAAATCAAGCCCAATGTTTGCTTAGAGGCAAAAAAATAGGCCATCATACTTTGGGCACATCATATGAAGACAAGAGGAAGACCAAACATTAGTTTCCGGGAACTCCCTAAAGGAACCACAGCCTTGAGTTTGCAACAGTTGAGCAGCGCTGCACATGATAGGACCTTTTGGAGAACACTCATTCCTATGGTTGTTGTGGTCACAGGCAACTTGACAGTACATAACAAAAACAAAAAAAAATCTATTTGATATATTACCAAGTTCCTATACTTAAGGCACATGCATCTGTTAATGCAAAGCCATATGTAAAATCATCATACAATAATGATATATACTCCCTGACATCTCCAGTTTAAAATATCAGGTAGTACAAAGTTTGTCTCTGCACTGAGATTCCTGAGAGCTGCTATCAGATGCACACACAGAGTGTAACCTAGTAGAAGGTTGCTTACTTTAATGAGCACCCAGAGTAAGTGTTGTTAGGTCAGATGCACACACAATGTAAGCTAGTAGAAGGTTGCTTACTTTAATGAGCAGAGTTCATAGTTCCATATAGGAAATTGAGAAATATTTATTTATTTAATTTATTTATTGCTGAGAAACTGTGAATGCCCTCAAGATACAAGAGTGGATAGAAGAAAAAGTCTTAAACCACTCCCAGAAGTAAGGAAGCTGTGAATGCCCTCAAAATACAAGAGTGGATAGAAGAAAGAGTCTTAAACCACTCCCAGAAGTAAGGAAGTGGAATATACCTTTCCTTGTGGCTGTCCTTTCCTTGGTTTTCACAAAGGAACATTAACACACAGCAAAAATGGATCTTTGTTGGGTTACTCTAGGCTGTCTTTCAATTTAACTACTTCTTGCCCACCGTATTTCCAGGATTACTTTACTGAAAGACTTGGGGCTATTCTGGAGCTTTAATTCTAACCATTTCCCCTTTGTCCCTTGATCTAAGATTGGACTCTCTATGCCTCCCTTTCTTGTTTTAAGATACATTCACACTCGGCTCTACTTATTGAGCCAAACTCTTCCCGCTTTCCTAATAGATTATAATCCTGCCTACTATGGGATTGCTCCCTAAACCCAAACTCTTCCTGTTTTCCTAATAGATTATAAACCTGCCTACTATGGGATTGCTCCCTAAACCATTTATGTTCCTATAGTCTCACAGTACAGCCAGCCAGCGAGTTCCTTGTGGCAAGTCTTGAGTACAGAAGAGGCACTAAGAGATGTCACTTAAAAGGCAACAAGTCCGGTGATTGCCTCATTCAGTCTTCTTCCCTTGCTTCTCTAAGATCAAATACTGCTCTCCTTTGAAATCGTTTATCAGCACTTCTTCTTTTTCTTTCTTCTTCATGCAGTCTGACACCATAGCAAGTATCTTTTGGAGCCGCCGGTCCAGTGCCTCCAAGTGAGGCTCAGATAAGATGGGTGATAGGTGGTCTGTAGCTAAAGACTCACGCATGACATCGCTCAAGTGATAGGGCTCTGTAGCGAGAAGCTGCAGCCTCAAGAATGTTGACTTTTTAATACTGAAACCATCCATAGGAAACAAACAAAGAATGAAAGAATTAAAAGAAATGTAAGAAATGTCACGTTCAGTATTTTCATTACTAAAATGTATGGACTTGAGATATTAAAACCAATCTAAGTAATGAGAGTGGCAAGTTTTGAACAGTGGCAAATACTATGAATTCTAGCCAAATAATTTCTTCCACATTTATTGCTAAGAAGTGTAATGTTAGAGGAATTTCAAGAAAAAAAAACATACAGAGTCCTGTGACTGATCTTGGCCAACCATGGCTAATTTGATGGGCTAAATAAAAGGATTCATGCTTTAATCACAAACACGTGCATCTTCTTAGAGCATGGGGAAGGATGGCAATGGGTAGACACCTCTTATAACCAAAGCATGAGCAGGTCAATTGGCTTCCTGAAGAAATGAGCTTGCATGCTCAATTACACTCTGGCTCAACACTGGAAGCCCAATTAGGCAGGCATCCTCCAGATCTCTGGGAAAAAAGCCAGCCTATGAAATGTTAGGGCTGGAAGGGAGCAAAAGTTCACCTCGTCCAACATCCACTATAGCTGTAATAGAGCCCTTAGGAATGTTATTTTTTGCATTATAATCCCCAGAACCCCCCAGGATACTCTGGAAACTGTATTCCGAAAATAAATGTTCCAAGCTCCACTGCAATGGACACAGAAGACAAATGGTCTACTTTCTGCAGCACTAGGTTTTCCCCAATCTTGTGCTTTCAAGATACACTGGACCACAACTCGAGTTATGTCCTCCTAGCAAGCACATTGGATTGGTCAATGTAATCAACACACATACGTAGTTCCTTTTAAACCTGTGAGCCGAGATCATTTAGATTTGATGTTAATAAACAGTCAAGGAGCAGCATGGATAGTTCCAGGAACATAAAGGATGACAAAGGAGAAGTTCAATCTCTCTTTCCATGCCATGGTCACAGAATTCCAAATGAGACTGGGTCTCCGGGTGTAAAAAAAGATGGAGCACGCTTTTAAAACTTTGTCAGTTCATTTGGTCTGTCTCAGCTCCAACTGATAATCACAGTGATTATCAGTCAGTGGTCCTGAAGAAGGCCATTTACTGAAACGTGTTGAGCTTTTTAAACAAGAATAAAGTTTATCATGTCTTTTTTGCATTCTGAGATGTTTCTCATTTGGAATTCTGCCACTAGTGGATGTACTAGTTCCCTGTTTTCTGCTTTATGCCATGGTCACAACAGAAACTGCTTTGTGGGAAATGGTATTTTCATTTCATTTTCATTTAAAGGGACTTTCCTGTTGGCATTGGTGGTAGCTTCCCTTCAATCAGTAATGTGCCAGGGATAACACCTTTCCTTCTCTGCTCCATGGCAATAATTATGAACAACTCTGTGCATTTTATCTAGTTTGGTCCTGAATGTGAAGAAGGGAAAACATCTTTTGACCCTCTTCAAAAGGGAGTGGCTCCCAAATCCTATATTTTCACCAGTCATTACCTATCCATTGTCCCTTACAATCTTAACTTCTTTCTTAGTAAGATGAACAATGGCAAAACTGGATTTGGAAGTAGTCTTCCAGCAATAGAAGAAAATAGAAGAAAGCCTTGAAGAGACACTAATCTGGTTACCTCTTCTTGGTGGGAAAAGTCATTTTGTGACAAGGAAAAATGTGGCCAAATCAGGTTTTTCTTGGTGCAAAATGAAAGCCTTCCTTAATTACATCGCCTCACTCCCTAAGACAGAGCATTAAAACAATTGAAGAAGCAGTGAAATAGTCCTTACATGCAGCATTGCCGGAGAGGAGTCAGAATGGACATTTCATCATGAGAGTGCCTTCCAAACCTACGAAAAATAAGTGAAACATAATGAGTTGGGCTGTTTTATAGGTAACCCATTACTGTATTTTGTTCCTCAAAAAGCTTATTCTGGAGATTTAAAAGCCTGAATGTTGTGAATTCAACTGTGCTTGTTATTTCCATGTACAAAATGTTCCTCTGTTATTCTGTTCAATAGTTAACTTTCCCAGTGGAGTTCAAATATTTTGCTAGATATTAGCATGAAACAAGCATAGGTATGAAGCACAGCTGTATTCTTTCCAGCTCTCCTGCATCAGCTGTTTTCCCTCCCCAAAAACCTAACAAATAAAACAGGAAAAAAACACAAGAGAGGAAGATAAAACAGGATAGCATATGGTTAGATCCAGAAACAGTAAGTTGCGAGCCTTGGAAGTAAGACAAGCTTTGTTCTTCGCTTTCAACAACCACTAGCTAGAGACCTGTTCATTTACTGAATAATTCTGAAAACATCAGATTAATTTGTGGTAAGGCTGTAACTATTTAAACCTTGAAGGAGGGAAGTGTTTTGAATCACAGGAAATGCAAATACTCAGCAAAATATTTTTGACTAGATTCCTGGCTGGATAGCTGTGACTGGAACCAGCCTCTGTGGACTTGGGCAAGCTGTATAGTCCCAGGGCGTCCCCAGAAGAAGGGGATGGTAAACCACTTCTGAATATTCTCTGCCTGGAAAGTTGTGAAAAAGGGTCATCATTAGAAATTACTCTATTATTATTATTATTATTATTATTATTATTATTATTATTATTA